ACCAGGATGGTCTCGATCTCTTGACCTCGTGATCCACCCGCCTCAGCCTCCCAAAGTGCTGGGATTACAGGCTTGAGCCACCGCGCCCGGCCTCTATTTTTGTATTTCTAAGAGAGACTGGGTTTCACCACGTTGGCCAGGATGATTTTGATCTCCTGACCTCGTGATCCGCCCACCTCGGCCTCCCAAAATGTGAAGATTACAGGTGTGAGCCACTCCTCCTGGCCAAGTGTTTTTTTTTTTTTTTTTTCTAGTTAGAAACATAAGCAAGTAAACGGATTCATGTCAAATAACAGGTGTTTTGGAACACTGCAGTAGCCTGACCTACATCCAGTGTTGTGGGTTAAAACGAAAAACATCTTGAACCCTCATCTTGAACCGTTACTGCACCTAGAAAAAAACGATGTACTGGAATGAAACTGGCAAAAACCCAAACAACCGACCTCCTTTCTGGTTTTTTTTGTTTTTGTTTTTGTTTTTTTTGTCGTTGTTGTTTGTTTGTTTTTTGAGGGGCTGGACAGAGTCTCGCTCTGTCGCCCAGGCCGGAGTAAAGTAGCGTGACCTCGGCTCACTGCAACCTCTGCTGTTGAGAAATGCTAAGTGTATGATTGCTGAGAAATGCTGAATCTATGATCAAATATATTGTTTGCTGAGAAGAACCATGGCAAGGAAAACCTAGCTCCTCCTCTCCCCCCCACTGGAAGAAAACTACTTGGGGCATTCTAAAATGGTAGGACAATGTATAAATATAAAAATATCATGCACCGCTTAAAACAGTTCTTTAAGTGCGGGACATTGACCCTGTCCCATGGCTCCCTTGTGGAGAATACTTTTTAGTTTGTCATCACTGGTAAGTGGTCACCAGCGGCGACGTAGTACATTTTTGTGTTATGAGAAAATACCAAACATCTGTTTATTATTAATCACCTGTTCAGAGAGAATAACTGTGTGGGTCAGAGTCTGCTTGAGGCCCTCAGCCCGGAATGCTGTGAGCCCCTGAGGCTGTCAGCTGGGAAAGCTGTTGGCCCATGGATAGACCCACTTTGCTGTTCTATCTGGCTGTCTGCTTCTTAATTCCTTCAGCGCCACCTGGCTGAGGGTCTTTACGGCTGAGGGGGTACGCTGCCTCACGGGTTCAAGCAATTCTCCTGCCTCAGCCTCCCGAGTAGCTGGGACTACAGATGCCTGCACCAGGCCCGGCTAATTTTAGTGTTTTTTTTTTTTTTTTTTGAGACGGAGTTTCGCTCTTGTTACCCAGGCTGGAGTGCAATGGCGCGATCTCGGCTCACTGCAACCTCCGCCTCCTGGGTTCAGGCAATTCTCCTGCCTCAGCCTCCTGAGTAGCTGGGATTACAGGCACGCGCCACCATGCCCAGCTAATTTTTTTTTTTTTTTTTTTTAGTAGAGACGGGGTTTCACCATGTTGACCAGGATGGTCTCGATCTCTTGACCTCGTGATCCACCCGCCTCGGCCTCCCAAAGTGCTGGGATTACAGGCTTGAGCCACCGCGCCCGGCAATTTTAGTGATTTTAGTGGAGACAGGGTTTCACCATGTTGGCCAGGCTAGTCTCGAACTCCTGACCTCAAGTAATCTGCCTGCCTCGGTCTCCCAGAGTGCTGGTATTACAGGCCACCACGTCTGGTCACCCTACCTGGGTGACCTTGCCCAGCCACCACATCTGGCCTCACCTCCTTTATTTCTGCAAAAGAAATTTAAAAAATCCACTCCATTAATTGTGCATGTATTTCAAGTAGGAAGAAAATGAATTGGGAGAATATTGTATACAATGAGTTCTAAATTTCTCTTCAAAGCATCAGTATGTCGGCCAGGCGAGGTGGCTCATGCCTGCAATCCCAGCACTTTGGGAGGCCAAGGTGGGCAGATCATCTGAGGTCAGGAGTTCGAGACCAGCCTGGCCAACATGGAGAAACCTCGTCTCTACTAAAAATACAGAAAAAAAAAAAATCAGTATGTCATTATGTTCAGTTATTTGTCCTTCATTTTACAGTTTAACTTCCTTATAGTTTCAGTACATAACCTTATCCACCAGTTCTAATCAGTAGTTAACATTTGTTTCCCCTCCCCAGCCCCTGACTCCATCCTGACTCATCCTGGTCACCTGCTCCAGTCACCTCCTCCAGTTGCGGAAGGAAACCCAGGCATCTGGGATTCCCTCCCCCTCTGTCATCCACTGGCGCCTCCTGAATCTCCTTCCTGAAAATAACATGCTTGGTCTTGGGGAAGCTCTCTGGAAGACACTACTTTCACTTAAAACAAGATCAAACCAGAAACCTTTTCACATGTGACTCCTCAAACTGTAAACCGGAACCCTTTCATATGTGATTCCCAAAGCTATAAACCTAAGATTCTTCCCCATGTGACATCTAAAGTATAAACCTATATAAAGGCAGAACTTTCCTTCGTTAGATGAGCTGGGCTTTCGACAAATTACTGCCTTGTCTCCCAGCCAAATAAACTCTTCCCTCCTTTATTTGGTGTTTGAGAGATCCGTTTCCCACAGCCGTTCCTGCTGCACAGTCACCTTCTCTGACCTAGGTCACTCCTGGCTACCTGCTCTGACCTGCCTGTAATGGTCCTTCCCGCGAAACCACCCACCCTGCCACTCCAGCTTGGACCCCTGCTCTCTAAAATAGCCAATCAGGATAAGTCTAGCTTGTGTGGTCTAACTCTAGCTCATAGGGGAATGACATAGCAGTAGGGGTGACCCCCATCAGGCATAAGTACCCCTTTTTCTCACTTGCCCAAATATGTGGTCACCATGGCTCCATCAGTGAGCTGCACCCTTCTGTAGAAATAAACTGCCTTGCTGAGAGGATTTATCTTCAAGTGCTATTTCTTTTGCAGCATCAAAATTTTACTTAGAGAACATTTCTGGCAACTATAACTCAGATGGTGATAAGTTTTCCATTGTCCTAAAAAATTTCTCATCACTTTGTCTCTATTTTTTTTGGGGGGGGGTGGTGTCTTGAGCACACCAAACTTAATTTTACATCAGCCCTCATTTTCACTGTTCCCTGTGCCTGGGGTACTTTAAGTTTGGACTTTCCTGTCCTTGAATCTAAAGGATGATCTTTCCTACCCATCCTAACTCCCAGTCACAATCACAGCACCTTCATTTTTTTTTTTTTTGCAGTGTTTTTTGTGAAATTTCTTGTTTCTCTATTTATGTACTAGTTTATTAGTTGATAGTCTGCACCAATGGAAGATAATGAGAGTAGACACTTTGCTGATTTTTATGGCTGGTTTGTGATAAATATTGATTGAATATTAGGCACCTGCTGTCTACAAGTGTCTCTATTCTCACAGACGTCTCACAGATTGCATGAAAGAATGCATTTGTGGGTGAGTAGATGGGTGGGTAAATAAATGAACAAAGACAGGGAGCGGATAACAGTGACTCCCATTCATTGCGCGGCTGTGACGCTCTGAGGTCCAGGTGTCCAAACGCGGCTGCACCACGTGGCCGGCCCAACACCACGTGGTCAGCTCAGCGACCGGCTGGAGTCCGCTACTGTCCCACCATGCACCGCTTCATGCTTGCTTTAGAGGGCAAGTCAGACCTGATTTCCGGCCTCCATGAGGTCGTAGAGGTCAGTTGCCCTAACGACCAGCTGGTTCCCGCCTCTACGTTGCGTCACTTCCTGTCACGCCCACTTAGAGCATTAACGCACCTGCGCAGAAGGGAAGCAACCCGGGACGCCCTTGTTCTGCGCAGGCGTGGCGCCCGGGGGCCGGGGCCGGGCGGCACCGCTGTGCGCAAGCGCAGCCGTCGGTGGGTCGGGGATCGGTCGCCTGAGAGGTGAGTAAGGGGCTCCGTGCTGAGCCTGGGGGATCTGGGGTCTGCGGCTCGGGGCTCACGGGGCCCCAGAGCCCGTAAGAGGTTGGAGATTGTGAGGTCAGGGTCACCGCGACTCTCGGGGTCCTGTGAGTAGGTGGCGCGGAGGGGAAACTGAGGCCGGGAGGCATCGGGCAGGCCGTTCGAGCCCTGATCTCCCTGCCCCGGACCCCAGGTCCTGGAAATGCCGGTCGGCGGGCTGGTGACGAGGTCGGCGGGAGGTGAAGGCACCCCGCAGTAGTGAGCGATCGCTGGGTGTTCGCTGCCGTCTCGCTCTTATTAACCGCCTGGAAACGTCGTTGCTGTGACTCGGGGACCCCCGTTTGTGGTGACTCAAGTCGGGGCTCTAGTCCCAGCGCCTCCAGTCCCTCCCTGGGTGACCTTGCCCAGCCTCTTGGCTTTTCGGAGCCTCAGTTGTCCCCTCTGTAAAACGGACGTTGTGAAAAGTCCCTGCCTGGGAAATGAGAGCCGCGGGGCCCAGCGCCAAGTGAGAATTACGAAGAATTGGCAGCCGTTCGTCTTATTTCGTGTTTAGAGTCGTCTTCTGCATACATTGCTAGAGGTTGGGGAAATCTGGGATACAGGACCAGCCCACCAACACGTCTTACCCGCTGTGTAAACCTGGGTGAGTCGCCTCCCCCCTAAGCAAAGCGTTCCTTCTTTCCTAAACAGCAGTGGGAAAAGCAGATGTGTCGGAGGGTCATTATGAGGGTAAACCCGCATGCAGTTCTTTGAGGTGTCTGGAACTTGGTGAGAGAGAGCTGGCTTGAGAACAGCTGTTTTTGTTATTAGGTGCCAGAAAATTGCCGTGCAGCGTGCATCTCGGAGGTTAAATGATTATCCCATTTTCTTTTGTTTCTTTTTTTTTTTTGAGACGGTGTCTTACTCTGTCGCCCACACCGGAGTGCAGTGGCTTCATTTCAGCTCAACCTCCACCTCCTGGGTTCAAGCGATTCTCCTGCCTCAGCCTCCCCAGTAGCTGGGATTACAGGCTCATGCCACCATGCCCGGCTACTTTTTTGTGTTTTTAGTAGAGACGGGGTTTCACCATGTTGACCAGGATGGTCTCCAACTCTTGACTTCATGATCTGTCTGCCTAAGCCTCCCAAAGTGCTGGGATTACAGGTGTGAGCCACCATGCCCGTCCTACAACAGCATTTTTTTAAAAACTGTGAAAAATGACAAAGGCAAATAGAGAACTATGACAACAGGAAGGGAAGGAACACCTGGGGATCCCCGGGCTCCCGCACACTCATTTGCTTTTCTGTTTTTTGGGTTTTTTTGCTTTGTTTTGTTTTGTTTTGAGACGGAGTCTTGTTCTGTTGCAATGGCATGATCTGGACTCACTCAACCTCTTGGGTTCAAGCAGTTGTCCTGCGTCATCCTCTCTGGTAGCTGGGATTACAGGCATGCACCACCACGCCTGGGTAATTTTTGTATTCTTAGTAGAGAAGGGGTTTCACCATGTTGGTCAGGCTGGTCTCCAAGTCTTGACCTCGTGATCTACCCCCCTCGGCCTCCCACAGTGCTGGGATTACAGGCGTGAGCCTCCGCCCCTTGCCTTGTTTCTGTCTCTGATTATTCGTTTTGTCTGTCTTTTCCCTCCCTTGACCGGTGGTTCTCAACTGGGAACAGTTCTCTGCCCTGGGGACACTTGGTGACATTGTGGTTGTCATGATCTGGGGGACCTCTTGGTATGGAGTGGGTAGAAGCCAGGGATGCTGCTCACTACCCTGCAATGCCTAGGATGGCCCCACCCCAGGGAATAATCCAGTCTTGGATGTCAATAATACTTTAAAAACCTTACCATATGGGCGGATCACTTGAGGTCAGGAGTTTGAGACCAGCCTGGCCAACGTGGCGAAATCCCATCTGTACTGAAGAAACAAAAATTAGCTGGGCATAGTGGCATGTGCCTGTCATCCCTACTACTCAGGAGGCTGAGGCAGGAGAATCCCTTGAACCCAGGAGGCTGAGGTTGCAGTGAGCCAAGATCACGCCATTGCACTCCAGCCTGGTTGACAGAGTAAGACCCTGTCAAAAATCAAAACCCTGTCCTAGATCAGTGATTCTTCACCAGCATGGGCAGCTGGGAGTGTGTGGCTCCGTGAAATCGTGAACAAAGTTTTGTGTGTGCACCCAATTTTATGTGGAGAGGAATGGGTACTTTGGAGGTTAGACACTCAAGTCAGACTGCCTGGGTTCAGAGCTCCTCCTTCTCATCCTCATAGCTGGGGGGTCTTGAGTGGCCCCATCTTTCCAAGCCTCAGTTTTTCTTCTGTAGAATGGGGATAATAATAGTAATCACCCCAGGTGTGTGAGCATTAAACCAGGCAAGGTATCAGCAAACTGACCAGAAGGCCAAATCCACCTGTGGCCTGGTTTTCCAAATGAGGTTTCGTGGGAACGCAGACACACGGCTTTGTTTCCATGCGAGCTGTGGTTGGTTTCGAGCTAAGAAGGCACAGTGGAACAGTTGCCGTGGAGAACATGCGCCTGCAGAGCCGAAGACGTTTTTCTTCTGGCCCTTTTCAGAAAAACCTTTGCTGACCCCTAAAATAAGGCATCGCATATACAGCACTTAGCTGGGTCCTGGAAAGCTGTGAGCGCGCCAAGGATTTGAGCTGCGGTTTATAATTAAATCTTCCTAGAAGGGTGAGTGATTCCAGATGGGGGTGAGCTCTGCCCCAGTTTGGAGAATCCTTGAGAGCTGTAGTCAGTCAATTCTACTGTTTTTTTTTTTTGGAGACGGAGTCTCACTCTGTCGCCTGGCTAGAGTGCAGTGGTGTGATCTTGGCTCACTGCAGCCTCCCCCTCCCGGGTTCAAGGTATTCTGCCTCAGCCTCCCAAGTAGCTGGGACTACAGGCGCACCCAACCACACCCGGGTAATTTTTTGTATTTGAGTAGAGACTGGGTTTCACCATGTTACCTAGGCTGGTCTCAAACTCCCGAGCTCAGGCAATCCGCCCGCCTCGGCCTCCCAAAGTGCTGGGATTACAGGCGTGAGCCACCGAGGCAACCTGTTTTGTTTTGTTTTGCCAGCATCCAACAGGGGCCCTGGTAGGACGTCCTCAGCACAGGCTCAAGGAATCAGAGGGATGGTTTGGGATAGGGTCTTGCTCTGTCACCCAGGCTGGAGTGCAGTAGCGCGATCTCGGCTCACCACAGCCCCAACCTCCTGGGCTCAGGCCGTCCCGCCTCAGCTTCCTGAGTAGCTGGGACTACAGGTCTGCACTACCACACCCGGCTAATTTTTGTAACTTGTTGTTTTTGAGATAGGGTTTCACCATGTTGCTCAGGCTGGTCTCAAACTCCTGGATTCAAGGGATTGTCCACCTTGGCCTCCAAAGTTCTGTGATGAGAGGCGTGCCCCACCGCACCTGGCCTGTTTTCTCTTTCACTGAGGTGTAAACAGGCGTAGAGAAATGGCCTCCCCAAGGACCATGGCTGTGAATTTTTTCAACAATCGAAGGCTTTCCTGAGTCCATAGGGTTTGGACACTGCCAGGTGCAGGGGTTCAAAGGGAAAATGGGTCTGTGGAGGGGTAGAAAGCCTTGAAGGAGATGCTGGGCCCGAGCTTGCGGGAATACTAGATTCTCTCCTGGCAAAGTGGGGAGGGGAGGTGAGCGCCTAATTCGAGTGGCATGTACAGGGTTTGGTGTAGGCCCCACAGACGACCCCCCACTGGTGAGGAGCCTCTAACGTACACTTCTGGGGGTCCAGGGAGCAGCTGAGGGCTTTTATACATGCAGTGACCTCCTGGTGGCATCTTAGAAGAAACAGGGCTTCCGTGTGGGGAGTATCCGGATGGGAGACTGAGCTAGAACCCAGGTATCCTGAGAGGGAGTGAGGACTGGGGCACCCAGCCTCCCTGCTCTGCTGTTTATGAGAAGTGCTGTGGATTTGGGGTGGAGGTGGGCAGAGTGCTCACAGAAGGCAGTGGGCCAGAGTGGGGGCTTCTTACTGGGGTGTAACGAAGTAGGAGGACCTCGGTTTAGGGGGATGTTCCGTTTTTCCCATTGAATGATTCATTCTGGGCAGGGAAATAAGAGAGGTGGTTGTGAGTTTTTTGTTTGTTTTTAGAGGCAGGGCCTCACTTTGTCACCCAGGTTGGAGTACACAGGCACAATCACAGCTCACTGCAACCTCCAGCTCCTGGGGTCAAATGATCCTCTCACCTCAGCCTCCCGAGTAGCTGGGATTACAGGCGTGTGCCACCACACCCAGCTATTTTTTTTATGTTTTTAGTAGAGACAGGGTTTCATCTTGTTGGCCAGGATGGTCTCGATCTTTTGACCTTGTGATCTGCCTGCCTCAGCCTCCCAAAGTGCTGGGATTACAGGCGTGAGCCACCACGCCCAGCTAATTTTGTTTTTATTTTAATGATAAAATGTAAAGTTGGGATGTGGAATCATCGGCTCAGAGCTGAAGCTGGCGCCCCAGTTGCCACCCCCACGGGCCAGCAGCCTTCCACCCTCACTTCTGCGCCCTCTGCCTTGAGACCAGGCGTCGGCCGTGGCTCCAGAGTGCCCATAAAGCCCTCGCTGTTAGGAAACACAGCTGGCTTCTTTGAGAGTGCTGTCCCACAGCCAAACCCCGACAAGTTGTGATTGTTCCGAAGACACCGAGAGCCGAATGGCAGCCGAGGAAAACGCCATCCTCAGGCTTGTGGACCCCCCTCTGAAGAGCAGAAAACGTTCTTCCCCGAAGCCTTAGTGCTGAAGGCAGATCTGAGAACCGCCGGATGGTCCTCACCTGGGGAGGGGCCAGAAGCCGCGGGTTCCAGCACGACCGGCCTGAGTCACACGCTGGGTCCTCCGCCGCGGACCTGCACTTCTGAAACCCAGAGTTCTGCAAACAGAAGGTTTTCAGAAGGCTCAAGCAAGGTCATCTGGCCGGAAAAAGCTGACCTGTACTGACTTCCAGCCTTTTCCTTCCCACTTAGAGGTGGTTTACTGCTGGG